TATCTTTTGTACTTGTGGATGCTCTGTGTTTCATCCAGGACTGTGGCCTTGATACTCATTAGGCCTCCTTCCTTCTGGCAGGTATATAGTCTCTAGGTGCTGGATTTCGGGTGGTCTTGGTCTTGACATCCATGGTGACCAGTTCTTCTCTTGGCCAGGTTATTATTCCAGCTGGGTACCTGATGACCTGTAGGGCATATGTTGATGGCTTGGATCTTGTTCTTGCCATTGAGCTGTGACTTCAGGACCTGTCTGACTCTTTGGAGGTACTTGGATGTTGCTATCCTCCTTGCCTCTTCCTCATGGTTTCCATGTGTTTGTGGTACCCCCAGGTACTTGTAGCTATTCTCTACATCATCTATTTGGCCTTCTGGAACTTCAACTCCTTCTGTCCTATAGCCCCTATTGAACTTGAGCAGCATAAGTGGAATAGGGTCCTGTCAGGGCTTGGAGGCGGGCTAAAGGGGGAGATCTAGGGGTGGGTTTGAAGTTTGATTGGGGGAGCAGCCTAATATAAATAGGCCGGCCATTTTAGCTCCTGTCACCATTAACTTCCTTACCATTTCGAGTTGGTTGCTGTTTTGGCTCTGGTTCGGCATGGTAGGGGTTTTTGTATGTTTGGCAGATGGACCAGTCGGTGGAGTTGTTGATCACTGAGATCAGAGCAGTGGCTGTGAGCAGGGGGTCTGCATGGATGAGGCCCCCAGCGAGCCTGGCTGTGGACACGGATAGTTGGGTGGCTATCGGGTGTTCCGCGGAGCTGGTCCAGGGGGCTGGCGGGAAGGCTGGAAAAGGTGGCCAGCGGCCAGGAGGCAGAAAGGCAGGCGGCAGTCCGGCATCCGGACCGAGGCAAGGCGGACGAGCTGATTAAGACGGCCGGGCATGCTACGTTAATGGCGAAAGTGGACATTGAAGCGGCTTTTCAGTTGCTGCCGGTACACCCAGATAGTCACCATTTACTGGGTTGCTTCTTCGAAGGGCAATACTTTGTGGATCTTTGCCTCCCGATGGGTTGCTCCATCTCTTGTTCCTATTTCGAGAAATTTAGCACCTTCTTGGAGTGGTTGGTTTGCACGGAAGCAGAGAATAGGTCGGTAATCCACTACCTTGACGATTTTCTCTGCGTGGGCCCGGCTGGATCCCCCACGTGTCGCTATCTCCTGCAGACACTTGAATGGGTGGCGGGCATCTGGTTTAAACTGTGGGGGCTAGGCTTCCCAGGGCGGGAGCCTGACTGCATCTCTTTTGTCTCCATAGGGCAAGTGGTATGGATCGTGGGCGATTCCTACGTCTTCTGGGCCAAATGGAGGGCTGCAGTTCATTTTAAGGGTCAGCAGCTGGGCTTTCCGGAGGACTGAATCACGTTGAAATGGTTTGGATATCGGGGTTTCGGGTGGCAGGCTGTCTGTGAAGAGATCTTTGGTATGCTGGGACGGGGTTGGAAACTGGACATACTAGTCCTGCACACTGGGGGCACAGTCATTCAATTATTTTGCTCTCTGAGATAAAAACAGTAACAGTAATCAATGGAGGTAAAGATGGTGAGTCCTCAGTAATCTTTAGTACAAGCATTCAATTTTACCAGGGCAGCTCTCTAGGCACAGGTCATAAAACATAAGCACCTAAGAAACAGGTCTCACACTTATTGCCTTTTATCAGATCAATCATCTCAGTGAGCCTCTTTAGTATTTAGTATATACACAGGGCCAGCGCTACCTGTTAGGCGGACTAGGCAGCCGCCTAGGGCGTCCCTTGGGAAGGGGCGCCACCAGGAGCGCCGGCCCCCCTCATGCTGCAGCCGCCCGAGCGCTCTGTAGAGAGCCTCAGGCGGCTGCAGCTTTGCCCGGGCTGGTGCGTCCATGAGGGCACACCGCACCGGAGAGAGGCTGACAGGAGGGAAGCGCTCAGCGCTATCTCCTGTCACTCCCTCCAGTAGCATGGCCGAGCTCTGTATGGTCCGTGGGTACAGGGAGTATCTGTCTCCTGTACCCGGCCGGACTAACACTGAGTGCGCACTTCCTGTTAGTCTGGCCGGGTACAGGAAACAAAAGCTCCCTGTACCCGCGGACCATACAGAGCTCGGCCACGCTACAACAGTGGTGGGGGGGGAGAAGGAAATTGGAGAGGGGGGAGAGGAAATTTGAAGGGGGGGAGAAGGAAATTGGAGAGGGGGAGAGGAAATTGAGAGGGAGAAGAAGGGAAATTGAGAGAAGGAAATTGGAGAGGGGGAGAAGAAGGAAATTGAGAGGGGAGAAGAAGGAAATTGGAGAGGGGGAGAAGAAGGAAATTGGAGAGGGGAGAAGAAGGGAGAGGGGGGAGAAGAAGGAAATTGGAGAGGGGGGGGAGAAGAAGGAAATTGGAGAGGGGGGAGAAAGAAATTGGAGGGGGTGGGGAGAAGGAAATTGGAGGGGGGGGAGGTTGACATCCATCACACACACATCACACACATTGCACCCCTTGCACACAGAAAAACACACAATGCATTACACACACAGACACACATACACAAGCAATGCATCCCTTACACACACAGAAACACACAATGCATCCCTTACAGACGCACACACTGCATCCCATACATACACAAACACACCTTACAGCCCTTACACATACAAACACAGATTCACACAATGCATTCCTTACACACATCAGGACATCCCCTACACACTCCACCCCCTGTGAACAAACTCATTGGTGGAACATGAAGGTGGACCCTGGGACCCAGACCTTGAGCTGTGTAAAGGGCCCCCAAAAAAATGGAGCTGCTTCCCGTTCTCCCAGAACATTGATTTTTGTGACCACAGTTACAAACCGCCTCCAGAGAGCCTGTTCTACACCAGACCAGTGGAGCCAGACTGCAGCTAGAGCCCATCATCATCCTCATCTGGTTGTAAGTAGGCAATCTAGTATATTATTCGTGGCACTAATCTCTAATTTACCTCACATTAAAGAAACACTATAGTCCCCAGAACCACTGCAGCTTAATGTAGTGGTTCTGGTGTCTATAGCCTGTCCCTGCAGGCCTTTTAATGTAAACACGGCGGCACTGCAGCACTGGCGTTAGTTAACATGGCAGATCATATGGGTGGGGCATTGTGATGTCACATGGGGGGGGCGGCAAACTTTACTTTTGCCTAGGCCGGCAAAACTCCTTGCACCGGCCCTGCATATACAGTAGGAGTTACCTCTGTTACCTCTTGTTGAGAGTCAGTAAAGGGACCTTTTATTTAGCTTTTTTGTTGCTTTCCAAGAGGTGATTTTACTACTGCTGCACGTGGCTCCCTGCTGTGATATCAACACCGTTCAAGCGAGTGAGTCCCTACGGCAGGGCTCGACAAATCCTGGGATGAGTGAGCCCTTGAGGTTGCAGGAGGCTCATAGAGAGCGGAGGCGGGCGGACAGGCATATGGGTCATAGTGAGCGAAAGGTGGGCGGTCGGACAGACAGGCAGGCAGTTCATTGCGCAAGATTAGTTGAGGCAGGCAGGCGGCTGGCTGACTATAGAGGCGGCATTGAGCTGTGATCTTCCTGCTCCCTCGTGTGCCGTCCAGTGATGTCAGGAGCCAGAATATGACGTCACTCCGGCCCTGGCTCACTAAACCGCACGTGAGGGAGCAGGAAGATGACCAGCCTCACTAGACCCCAAGGAAAGATGGAGAGGCTAGCCGGGCAAATTTAAATACAATAATTTGTGAGTCTATGTGAAAAAGTGTGTGTCTGCTGTCTGTGAGTGCGTCTGTTTAGGTGACTGGCCCTCCGATCACATGGGAATGGTGCTTTTACTGACCTTTTCCCCCCCTGTCTCAATGGCTGAGATCATAATCACTTGACAATCTTAGCCAATCCAATGCTTTCCCATAGGAAAGCAGTTGGAGACTAATGCGCAGAAAAGCCATGCTTAAATCAATGCACCTATATGGTGAGCATTAAGCGTTTCCATGCAGAGCATAGAGACGCTCAATGGATGTGCTGCGTACTGTGCAGCACTGACCCAGAATGCACCTAGAGAGACCATCTGAGCGACTGCCACTAGAGGTTTTAAGAAGCTGCAACGTAAACACTGCCTTTTGTCTGAAAAGCCAGTAGGGACAGGCTAAAGACTTCAGAACAACTGCATTAAGCTGTAGTGGTTCTGGTGACTATAGTGTCCTTTTAAGAATAAGGTATTTTTGCCATTGAAAAACCTGACTCCTAACTTTTTTTAGCTGTCTCCTAAATTCCAAGCAAATTTGTCAAGCCCTGCCCTACAGGGACCAATGCACAGAAAACCCTTTCGGTTGAACTTTAACTCGAGTGCCCTCACGGCAGGAGCTTATCCAGTCTCCATCGTTGGTGGTATGGGGACTTGTACTTTATGTAAATTTTTATTGCTCTTTCATTCCTTCTCTGTTCTGATCTAGCCCCTTCCCCATCGCCACCCCCTTGTGCTGAGCTAACGCCCATCTCAATTTCATGGATTTCAAGGTCCTTCCCCCCCCACCAGTTTTAAATCTCCTAATCCCTCTAGCCATCCAGTCCCCCACTAAGCAGACCCTCTTACATTTAGGTGCAATCCATTATGATTGTACCAAAGCACAACATTTCTAAAAAGCCAAAACCCTTTATCCTACACCATGACTTTACCCTTCCTAATCTACTGCTGCCTTTCTACTGTAGTGAGCAGCACAGGTAAGATTTCTGAAACTACTACATTGGATGTCCTTTGCTTCAGTTTATTTCCAAATTTACGAATGTCATTCTTTAGGACTTTATTTTTATCGGTAATTGGTACCAATATGGACCAAACCACTGGGTCTTCCCTAGCTCCTCCCAATAATCCTTCCATTGTCAGCAACATGCCAACAGCAAACTGTCTGGTTGAGACGATCTGATCGGCTTTTGATAATAGAATCCCCTATCACCACAACTTGTCAGTCCTTCCTTACATTCTCAACCCCAACCGTACTCGAGGAAATATAACAAATGATACCGCACTCATTAATTTTGAATATAATTCATTGCTCTATTTAATAATTCATTAATTTTACAAGTATAGTAATATTTAAGTATATACAAGAAAAGAATAAGCAAATATACTTAGTGGAAATAATATATCCTGTGACAACCAATGTTACTCCATGTATATATAAATCCCTACAAAATCTGACTTGCTTATTAACAATAATGCTAAACTGCATTAATATATCTGAGAGTCCAGATTACCATCTTAAAGGTTTTTTGAGAAAAATGCAAACAAATTAGAAAAAATGTATATACAGTCCCAGTGTGTACACACAATAATGAGTGGTGGATCTCATCAGAATTTCCATAGACTCAGGTCCTGTTTCAGGCAAAGTTGTAATATGCACACATAGATGGTGAACTGTCCACAGTATCTCTGTGGTTTTTGTAATCCTATTATTTCTCCCTGGGTGTATATATGATCTCCCCGTTGTCAGTGAGGTACCGGGCGTCTTCTTTAAATGTCGGTGTAGGGTCATACTCGAGGAAGCTGTTTCTGAGCATATACTCCCAACATCTTTGCACAAAGTCAGGAATAGCTAAACCTTTCCTCTTCCCTCCACCCCTCCTACTACATGCCTGTTCTCCAGCTGTCTTATCGCCTCTTGTTCTACTAAAGTACCACGTTACACTCTGCTCAGTGAGCAGCACACTACTTGCAAGATTGTCAATTCTGTCTCACTGTTGTAATTTGCTTCTTCAGATCTCCAAAAAAGGAGTTTCCAGAGAAGCTACTCATTCACACCTACCATAGAGGATATTGGTATACAATAGCCCACACAAGACCTTGCTTTGTACTTTGCATTTTACTGAATAAACCGTCAATTCATAGTGAGAACACCCAAAAAAGTGTTGCACTGTTCTCAGGATATTTTAAAATATATACATTTAAAAAAAAAAAAAAACACGCATTGTGCTAGAAGAAAAAAAATCCACACATGTTTATATTTTAATTATAATTTTTATGTTAATCCTGTCGAGGATCAGCACATCAGCAGGCCTTAACCATATCCAGAATTTCAGGAATACAATATACTGTCTTCTATATTTAGGTATAGCATGACTAGAGAAAGGCAAACATTTAATCATAGTCTTATTTATTGGAAACACCCAAGCTTCACAATGCATTAATTAAAACTTATATCCATCTACCTGACCAGCCTCAACAGTTACATAATCAAAGATACAGAAATAAATTGACCTGCAGAAATGATACGTCATTGGGTAGCGTGTTCAGACACGGGATTGCAAGTTTGTTTTTGAAGTGTAATGTTTTCTTCCCATGGAACATAGTTCACTTTTGATTCACACTGCAGCCTCTGTAAAAACAAGGAAATAGAGGTCAAGTTTTAAGCTCCCCACAAACGATGCAACCAACATCCACAAATTATCCCCCTTTTCAGTCAAAATGATTTTTTGAAAAGTTAAGAAAATAATGTTTAATAGCTTATTTGAAGAAGTCAGGGTGCTAGGAGTCTACAGCTTTTAAATATGAAACTGATCGCAATATGATTTATAGCTCTATGTGCAGAGGTGTAACTACACCTCCAGCAGTGTCAGAAAAAAACAACAACAACAACAACACACCCTCTTTTAATTCTACGATTTTACATATGACAATCTGTACCTTAGCTGGTCTTACAATTAACAATACACAACATATTACACGGTCATTGTTTAACAAAAATAAAGCCAAAATGGAGAATCCATGTGTGGAAAATCTAAGCCCACCCTTACAGTTTCCATAGGAATCAAGAGGCCAAGTAGAAGATAGGTGCTGCTAATCAATTGATCAACAAGCGTGACCATGGGGGGCGGGGCCGGGCCGCAGAGCGGTCGCAGGAATGATCAGCTCCTGCACAATATGACCCATTAAGCTTATAAATCGTGATTTTAGGAGTAAAAAGTGACCACCAACCGTGACCCTCGATGTATACGGGCCACCGGAGCTGTGGTGAGGCTTGCAGAGTTCTAGTCCCTCGGAGGAGAGATCCCTGCTGCACCGGGTGGGATCAAACCTGGCAGTGAGTGGAGTGGACGGCCGCTGCTCCACTATCCTGCCCGACAAGGGCATGGAACATCGGCGGTTCTGATTTCCGCCCCCCCCCATACACTTGGAGGCACTACCAAACCACCATGCAGGCCCAAGGCTAAGATGGTGGAGGCCATGTGCGCAGGAGCCGAACCGCAGCGCCCACAGCAGACTGCGGTCACCAACTGGCCTGACACAGCGCAACAAACACCAAACGACCCATACCATACAGCAGCTCCCAAGTCCGGAGACACATCGGGCGCATGGCACTAGTAATCCAGCACGACGCACCACCCACATGGACAACGCTGCTGATAAGACCGCTCGCCCTTCATCTGAGCTGGGCGGTTTTAAATCCAACCTGCACCATACTGTTAATAGCATGCTTACTTTAGTATGTATCTCGGATGTAAAGCACAACACACGCATTTTCACATAAATTTACAAGCCTATCGAACCCACAGGCACTCTTTACATTAGTGATACTGACCCAGCTTACACCATAATCTAAATAACGTTTATTTTATTGGGTATTTCTGGTGTGGGACACAGCATACGCATTTTTTACATAATCTTACAAGCCTGTCGACCCCAATGTGACTCCTCGCATTAGTTATACTAACCCAGCTTGTGCCATAACGTAAATAGAATGTTGTTTTGTAAGGTATTTCAGGGGTGAGACACAGCATGCGCATATTCTCACAAATCTCAAGCACCAACTAATATACAAAATGTGCCTACATACATAAAGAAAAACAAAAATGAGGCCATTATATCTGGAAGTTCATGCAATATTATCGCTTTCTGTTATGCTCAACGTATGTTTGATTTCTCATGCATTAACTCCTAGCTTTATTTTCTGTAATGACTCATCATATGCCTCAATAAAAACAAAGATTGACAAACAAGCGTGACCATCTCTATAAAAGCTAAAATTTTAGGAGTTTGCTGGTCTGGAGCATTCAAGTGTTATCAGCGATTCATCAGTGATCGTCAAGAAATTGTTGCTGCCCATCAAACTGGAAAAAAGTAATATGGCTATTTCCAAACAAATTTAATGTTCATCATTCTACAAAAATAAAGATTAATCAAAAGTAAAAAAAAACAAGTTTGTGCGTTTGGTTTTTGCCAAACGTGGCGCTGTGCATTATGGCCAAACATCTCATACCAACTGTCAAGCACTGTGGTGGAAGAGTGATGATTTTGGCTTGCTATGCAGCCACAGGACCTGGGAACCTTGTAGTCATTGAGCTGACCATTAACTCCTCTGTATTCTAGAGTCAAATGTGAGGCACCCTGTCTGACAACTAAAACCTGGCTAAAGTTAGGTAATGTAACAGGACAATGATTCCAAATCTACAACAGAACAGTTGAAAAAGAAGAGAATCAAGGTGTTGCAATGACCCAGTCAAAGTCCAATTCCCATAAAATGCTGTGGTGGGAGAGCTGTGCACAAAATGCTACCATACCTCAATGAACCGATGCAACATTGTAAATAAGAGTGGGCCTCAATGTGAGAGATGCATACAGAAAACAATTACTTCAAGTTAGTGTTGCTAAAGCTGGTTCCATACGGTATTAAATCATAAGGGTTACTTCAATTTTCACATATGGCATCTCCATTTTGGATTTATTTTTGTTAATCATGACACTAATGTCATGTGGTGTTCCTCTGAGGTTGTATTTACATAATTTTAGGACCTGTTAAGGAACAGATGATTGGTATATTTTCCCGATATGTAAAAATCATAGAACAGGTAGACAGGATGGCTGTGGGTAATAGACTTTGAGGGTGGGGCAGAAATATTAATAGGGGTTGCTTAGAGATAAGATTCTGGTGCCACAATCTCCACACTTCTAAGAAGTGCAGTGTTTAAGAGATGATTTTGAGGAGTGATTGACACCTATGGAGTGGCACCTCAAATATTTGGTCTAATGAAAATACGAAAAAAAAGGTATCAATTTTCGAGCGAGATCCAGGGAGCAGGAGTGGAGGGCAGTCTAAACACTAAAGTTTGTATTACAATTTGGAAAGATGCTGGGAGAGTTATGGGTAAGATCGTTATCAAGTACAATATCCAAGGGAAAACATTGATCTTTATAGTATTAAATGTGTCCCAACCAGGACATTTCTAATTTTAGCCACTTGTCCAACCGTGCTTTGATGTGAGATTTTAAATTCTTTTCCTTAAAGCAAGTTAGAGACCCCAGTCAAAAAAAGTGTACCTGGACTGTAAATCTGCCTAAAGTATTGTGAGGCAAAAATAAAAAGGTGAGTTGCTAGAGCTTTGCTAGACTAGTTTTAATAGAAAGAGACCTCCCTATATTCAGAGGCTTAGTAACAGGCAAGTTATGGAGTCCCCTGTGAAGAGATTACCAATAGAATATCAACAAATAGGATTTTTATTTTTAATTTTTTTATTATGTTCACCTAGCAAGGTAACGATAAGAGACTGAAAACATTTTATGAACTAATCATCCAAGGGCCAAAATAGGGATGGGGCGAGACAACACTGACAGGTACCATTCCCAATTGGAAAGGTATTCAACAGAAAACCAGGAGGAGGAGGAAGGGGGAGGAGAAGAATTTAGCTGAAGGGGCTGTAAAGACTAAGGACTGCACTTAAAAGGGCAGGGAAAAGGAAGTCAAAATCTTGCAGGGTTGGGGACATACATTTCCAACTCAATCTGTGGAGTTTTTAACATCTAAAGAAAGAATGACATTCGGTATTCTGAAGGGGACAGTTTATAAATTGGTCTCAAACGTGTGAGGAGTGGAAGTATTCGTAGCGTCAGTCATGGTTAGCAGAGAAAAACTGCAGGTTAGCAGATATTTTAAGGATAGAAATGAGCTCATCATTTAGTCTCCATAGCCCTCAACCCACAGCTGGAAAGTGGTAACTGAATGTAGTTTTGGAAGGCGCATTTTCTGATCATGAGATAGGCCAATATCAGTAGATGATGCTCTAATTCTTCAATCTATAAACAAACACTGCAGTAAAGAATACGCAAAACCTTTCCCCTGAGGTGCCTAATCCAGTCAAGTAATGCAATCCATAAATAAAGTCCCAAGATTGACAACTAAAAGCAAGAAGGCTTGTATAGTGAGTGAAGTTAGAGAGAGTGTTAAGTCTACAAAAATGGGTTCCTTGCAGAAGACAGATGGTAGATTTAAAGATAGTTGCATCTTTCATAATTTTACATTTTTTTTTGTATTATTTTTTTTTGAGGCTTATTAAACTACGTATTATGTAACTAAAATATAAAAAGAACTGCCCATGAGAACTACATATGGAAGTTACTCCTAAAGTGGTAGTGGGTAAGGGAAGCATCCCAAACAGAGGGCATTTTTACTGAGGGAGATATCATGCGGGAAAGAAAAAAAAATGTTAAAGAAAGGAATATGAAGCCATTTCTATATTGAAAATGCAAACATTAAAATGACTTAATGATGGCAAGAGTGAAATACTACGCACAAAAGTGAGCACCAGCTTAGATTACAAATAGTCACTGGGGGGGAGGATGTTGGCCTAACAAGACTACAATTATGATCTAAAGCATGAAAGAACAGACTAGTACAATGTATGGGTACGAACTGCAAGAGAAAGAAATAAAAAAGTAGCCATAGGGCACACACTTCTAAATTATTTCATATTAGGTGGAACTAAAGAACATCAGAGCGCTTTTAAAAAATAAAACATTTTTGTAATTTTTTTTTCTTTATTTTTGAGGGTTTGCAAGCAAAGAACTCAAGATACAACATGTGCTCAAAAGAGTAGTATATAACAAGTTACATATTAGATAACCATTGTGGCATTCGGAGTTGCACAGGTGCTACGTCTACCCGGTTTTTATTTTGTGAGTCAGGCTAATCCCCCCCTAGCCTGTGCAGAGGAAGTTTAGTGGAAACGTCAAGGGGGGCTTGGGTTGGATGCTTGGTGTGCCCTGCCAGAGGATGTGGGCTGAAATACTTAAAGGACCACTCTAGGCACCCATACCACTTCAGCTTAATGAAGTGGTCTGGGTGCCAGGTCCAGCTAGGGTTAACCCATTTTTTCATAAACATAGCAGTTTCAGAGAAACTGCCATGTTTATGAATGGGTTAAGCCTTCCCCTATTTCCTCTAGCGGCTGTCTCATTGACAGCCGCTAGAGGCGCTTGCGTGCTTCTCACTGTGATTTTCACAGTGAAACGCGCTCGCGAGGAAAGCATTATAATGCTTTCCTATGTGACCGGCTGAATGCGCGCGCAGCTCTTGCCGCGCGTGCGCATTCAGCCGACGGAGAGGAGAAGAGGAGGAGAGCTCTCCGCCCAGCGCTGGAAAAAGGTAAGTTTTTACCCCTTTCCCCCTTCCAGAGCCGGGCGGGAGGGGGTCCCTGAGGGTGGGGGCACCCTCAGGTCACTATAGTGCCAGGAAAACTATTATGTTTTCCTGGCACTATAGTGGTCCTTAACGGTAAGTTGATTTTTTTTTTTTAAATAGAAACTTGTTCTATACTTACTGTAATTTATTTTCTAGATATACCCATGACAGCATTACCATAGTTTTAGCTCCACTTATTTGGCTATTAAGACAGGAAGTCTTTTAATACACCCCCTTGTTCAGAATATCCTCAGTCTAGTTCTATGCTCCGGAAGGCAACAATAGAAATCAGATATGGGAGGGAAATCCATGCTGCCATGGATATATCCATGAAAAGAAAATGATGTTAAGTATGGAACAATTTTCTATATTCCATAGCAGCATCAACACACCAGGCTAAACCAAGGGAGGAAAAAATAAATAAAATAAAAAGTCAGATCTCTTCTTGGAGCAAGAAGCTATTACCAAAGAATTGCAAGAACATAATATTCAGTTATTTTTTTTGTTTGTTTTTTTTTAAATCTTTATTGCAGTGCCAAGATACACATAAGGGTATAGTAAGCACAAAAAGTAATGATTACATTGATATGTCAAGAGTTTTGCCCCTTTTTAGGAAGAAAAAATAAATAAACTAAAATTAGAGTAAAACAGAGTGAAACAAATCAACAGTAGACCTGCTGTCACATATTTAGGAAGGAGAAATAGGCTAGGAAAATGTTGCTCAGTCAATACCTAGATGCCAGGCAAAAAAAAAAGTAAAATGCAATTTCGCCAAAGGCATTTGTCAGACATACCAAAGTTATGGATATAAAGTTTTTAGAAAAAAGACAGATGGGAGTGATTTGTCGATGGTCTAAGGCAGGTAAAGAGCATGTGCCCAGGCAATTAAGGAATGGTAGATAGATGCCCAGGGACGTTTTAGCCGCGAGGCAAACAAGGCATTTGCCTTGGGCGGCTTTTCCCAGGGGGCGGCAAAAAAAAGCGGCTTACAGTCCAGGCATACAGGCGGCTAGGTAAAAAATCTGTGCGGGCAGCGCTGGCGAGGGAGCGCTTTCCCCTGAGCAGAGTGATGCCGGGAGTCGGAATATGACCTTGCGCGCCAAGCCTCACTCTGCGGCGCACGAGGAAGCTGAGCAGAGCGCTCAGGGGAAAGTGCTCACTCGCCAGCGCCGCCCGCCCAGCAGTCACTGGACCCCCAGGGAGAGGAAGAACCCCGCCCCCCCCACAGCATTCCCAAAGGTAAGGAGGCTGGGGGGGTTACATTTTTAAAAGAAAAAGTGAGTGTTAATGTTTGCATATGGTGTGTATTAGAGTGTGTGTGTGTGTCTCTGTGTGTTAGTGAGGGAGTGTGTTACTATGTGTGTGTCTGTTAGTGAGAGTGTATGCATCTGTTAGTGAGTGTGTGTGTGTGTGTGTGTGTGTATGTGTATTTAGAAGGCGGGGTGGTGCGAGGGGAGCGCCTGAGTTTTGGAATGCCTAGGGCAGCACAAAACCAGGATACAACACTGTAGATGCCTACACCTTGTAATGAATCAAAGAAAAGACTTAACACTTAATATTTCATTAAAATATTAGTTAACCAATTACAAGTCAAAAATAGAGTATTTACAGCACACACAAAAATGCACAGCATTCGTAAATATACAAAAAAAAAGATAAAGTTAATACACAAAACAAATTAAGGTTGCGCCAAAGCTGGCTGTAGTCCAGCTAATATGAATAAAGTCCAAAATAGTAAAAAGCAAAATCCAAAGTAATATAAAACAAACTCTTTAGTGGAGCCTGATGGGGTATCAACGGCCTATCAAGAGGGATATTCTCTGTATGGATCAAATGGAGGCAGCTTTCCAGGATCCGTATGTGAAAAGAGAAAGGGATAATAGTGCAAATACGTAAAGTAAAAAGTAGGATAGCAGGAAGACGAAGTTTACGATAGTCCTACTCACGTGTAGTTCAGCTAAACTAGCTCTAGTGTTGATGGCATACAGCGGTACAAGCCCCGCTTATGGGATACGTAGAGGGGTGTTGGTCTTTTTTGTCCGTATGTGGAGAAAAAGGACAGAGGATAGGGCAGTGCGTCTAGTAAAAGATGGTAAAACACCAATAGAGACTAATCTAGTCCTACTTACATGCGGTAGAGCTTGAACGGCGTACAGCGGTATAATCCCCGCTTGTAGGATACGTGTCGAGTGGCAAGTCTTGTGTAGATATATATATATATCACAAAAGAAAAAGGAGACAACTAAAAGTGCTCACTGTATAAAATAGTATATAATGAGTATATAAAATAAAATGGGTACTAACATATGATTGAGCAGACTAACTGCTCAATAACTTGGGCGTACATGGTATAATCCCCACCTAGGAGGTCTTGGAGTAATACTCAACAGGAAGGATAAAAAACAGGATACCAAGCAAAAATAAATAAAATAGTAAAATGGCACAATCAAGGTATATTAAAAGTAGCCAAAATACCTTTAAGAATACAGAATATTAAAATATCCACAACGCGTTTCACCTATAATGGTCTCTACTTGAGAAAGCCATTATAGGTGAAACGCGTTGTGGACAATTATCCCTTTCTCTTTTCACATACGGATCCTGGAAAGCTGCCTCCATTTGATCCATACAGAGAATATCCCTCTTCATAGGCCGTTGATACCCCATCAGGCTCCACTAAAGAGTTTGTTTTATATTACTTTGGACTTTGCTTTTTACTATTTTGGACTTCATATTAGCTGGACTAGCTAACCAGCCAGCTTTGGCGCAACCTTCATTTGTCTTGTTTTGTGTAAATACTAACACTTGAATATATATATATATATATATATATATATATATATATATATATATATATATATATATTATATAAATAAATAAATAAAAAGAGGTAGTATGTGTCTATAGGTTAGTAATGGAAAAATCCAAGGCAGTAAACCTGTAGCTTGTGTACAGCCCAAAACCAACTAAAGCTATAGTACTGAGTATATCAACTGGCTGAGGGAATAGGGATAACAAGATCCCACAAAGATTCTGACTGTATATATTTGGAGATGCACATTCAGTGTTGCCAATTTCCTTGAAAGAAACACATGTATCACTGAGTGAGTTGCATCCAAGAAGAGGTAACCTTCACTAAACAGTGTAATCTGAAATAAATAAATAAATCAATCAATCTAACGGCCAGTGAACACACTAAGAAAATTTTGCTAAAACTAGAAGTGGTCTTAAAAGTCAGAGGTTAGTAATCCATGCTAACAGAATTTCTAAGCTGTGCTTTCGAGAGCACCTGAGCTGGTTTAGGAATATACTCTAGCTGTCACTTTTTAGCAGGATATAACAAAAATCGAAAGGATACCTAGAACACCCAAATCAAGCACCCGAGAGACTGTTCTCTCTAATAATGAGCTGTATAAAAAGACATGAATAAATAAGTTGAATAGGTGCATGTGATCCTAGATATGGTTGGCCCCGACACGCTTTTTGACGGTTTGGCGGCTATAAAGTGTGCAAGCAAAATACACTGCTTCACGAGAATGAGGTGGAAGGCTAATGCCAAGCACATTATAACATGAAAAGTATACCAGCCCATGCCCAATGTGGATAGAAACTAAAAACACCATGAAACGTAGCTGAATATGCATAACTGATAAGATGCCATTTGTGTGGGAGTACAATCTCCTTAATGGAGGCCAGTCAGGGGGTGACCGCATCTGAGAAAGGCTTATTAGGTCAGTCCAGAGTGGCATCCAGCCAATGCCGTGGCTGGACATGTATCTACTATCCGATCACAGGCCATTCAGGCGAGTAGTGATATAGGACCAAGATAGGGTACACTACCATGCCTGTTCCAGAGCCTGCACTGAAACTCTGGAGCTCTGTGAGGCAAAGTTCTCCCCATCTAGGAACATGCAGAAGGCCCTTTCAGTAATGCTGATCTGTCAATTATACCTCAAGCACTTCTGCTTGTGTGGCCTGTACGTTGCGGCTGAACCCTGGTTGACTCTAGGACCAAGTAGGCATTAAGTGGAGTTGCTTGTAAAGAGAACCTCAGGGCATAACTCCATGATGCCTCCTTGTTCCATCCCAGAAGTGGTTGAAAACCACCTCCAATTGGTGTATTGTGCTGTGGCAGTGGTTTGTAAGGGCAGCTCTGTGTGCAATCAGCATAGTATTGGAGTCAGCCATCTTGTGTATCGTTGCATGCCTCTTTACGTACAGTGTCAGGGTAGTCGTCCACTACACGGAGGACCTTAATATGCATCCCAGCAGGGACGTGGATAAACCCCTCCTGTCCAGAAGGAAGAGAAATGGGGCTGCAGAGATACTGTGAGGGACCAGGATTCTCTTGGACGCATAGATTGGCCGCCCCCACCAGACCCCACAAGGCAGTTTATGACAAGCACTGTCCTCCTCGCTCCAGAGAGCACCGTCCAGCTCAGGAGAGATGAAGACTGCAGGGGTGCAAACACGAGCGCATGGAGCCAAGAAAGTTCAAATAATTTGAGAACTAAGGTAGCTCTTTTAACATGCAGCCAGCTGCCATAGAGCTCAGGCCACTCCACTATTTTTTCAAGTGTACATCCAATTGCGGTTTAAACATCTGCACAGTTTTGTCTTAAGACTAATTTATTTTCTTCCAGTCTTAATGCAGGACTTTGTGTCTTATGTATAGTCCTGTTTATGACTAGATTTCCAGACAATGGTTTGTATAATGCTATCTTATCCATTCTGAGGTGTTTTTTCTAAACTAAACAGATATGAAATACTCCATATTCCTTTTGTTAATTTTGTATGCTGCTTCACTTTTTCTAGTGCCCCAATTTCCTTTAAAACAGGTGCCCAACAATCTTCCAGCCCAAGCCCCACAGTGGGTAGCAATAGAATCCCACTGGGCCCCACAACACGACCTCAGGGCAGTACTCTGGCTACAGAAATGCCCAAAACCCATACGAGAGAATCTGCTACCTAGCACACAGAACATGATGAGGGTGTGGAACCAGGGCCGCCATCAGAAATTTTGGGGCCCCTGAAAAAGCACAAGGTTTGGGACTACCAGAGAAGGACTTGACTCCTGAATGTGATGAAAATCTGTTTCCCTCCCCGGTGATTTGTATCTGGACTGGAGACAGTAAGACTAAGGAATGCTCATGTCACTGGGCCCATTTGATTAGACCAATGCTTGAGGATATTGAATCCAGCAGACATGCAAATACTCGTGCAGTCATGTCGACTGCTTTTCTTTATTAATCTTTAGGAATGGATGTTTCCTTTTGACAAACACACCATGCCCCTGTCTGTATTGAGATAGGCCCCTAGAAAACTCATGCTCTAAGGGGCAGAGTTGACTCTTAGCAAACATTTGGTTGGCTAGTACCTTTTCCAATATAGTAAGAACAGAGCTTAACTGGGACTGAATAGAAAGGACTGACAGTAGTTGCCAGTGATGGCGAAAAGAAGTAACCCTCCTATTACAACATAGCTTGCGCAATGTCAAAGGAAACCGAAAAGGAATCAACCATAATATCTGAAGTTTGTGATAATCTAGATCTTGTGTTTAAGGATGTCTGCAAAAGGCTTTAGAGGTGAAGCAAGGTCAGTTAGCAATATATTACAAGACTGTAGTAGCTGAATTCCTTCCTCCAGGGTGGTCACAAGTCTCAGGGATCCATTCCCCTTAAAAATCAGCAAATCTGTTGCATATCCCCACCAGTAAGTGATTACATAGAGCATTGTTAACCGTGATAAATTTGCTGCATTTTAGCATTGTAATTGTGAAGAGGAACATACAAGGATAGGCCAGAATGCAGATCTGGTAAGGGATGCAGCCTTCTTGGGTTTGTAATAATTAAGAAACTACAGCATCCCTTGGGATGTCCACAGACAAGCTGTGAGGTTTAGGAAGGCAGTGGGACCGATCCATGAGCCACTGACTCAAAGCACAGTTTAAAATAAATAAATAAAATAAATATAAGGTAGGAGAGTGCCACAAACTGGCTTCAGTTGCCTCATGGTAGCAATCTTATCCAGTGTGCACTATACTATACTCTTACAATTAGAGATTGTGCACTCCTGTGCTTTAAAATAGTTATCTGCAGTAATATTGTGGAAGTTCCATCTTGATAGTAGGTCTTGGATTGACTATTTGAAGTATTTTTTGCTCAGAGGCCAGGTAAGTCTGATCGTTGGAGGATCTCCAATTCTGAGGTTGTATCACAGGGTGGAGGAGGAGGTGTGTTAATCTGTCATCTTGACATGTGCCAGGCACAAAAACAAATAAAATTATAAATATAGATTTGTGTCCTGGTGAAAGTTTACTGACGTGGACTGAAACGTTGACTATGGATTAAAAGCTATTTTTATACAGCTGAGCACCGGGCATTTTAAAAAGAGGAAAACACACACACAAACCAATTCATGCAAAAAAACAAAAAAATCTGTGTATACATTTGTCTACTATGCACTTTATGTTTGATACTTTTAATACAAAATAGTTAATACAAAACATATGCCATCATGTAACTAGGGCTGGAGACCAAAAGATTTCAGCTCAGGTATCATACATCTTACATAGTTACATAGTTACATAGCTGAAAAGAGACTTGCGTCCATCAAGTTCAGCCTACCTCACATTTGTTATTTGCTGTTGATCCAAAAGAAGGCAAAAAAACCCAGTTTGAAGCACAATTTTGCAACAAGCTAGGAAAAAAATTCCTTCTTGACCCCAGAATGGCAGTCACATTTATCCTTGGATCAAGCAGTTATTACCTACATTGAAAGATTATATCCTTGAATATTCTGTTCTTGCAAGTATGCATCTAGTAGCCGTTTGAACATCTGTATGGACTCTGATAAAACCACTTCCTCAGGCAGAGAATTCCACATCCTGATTGTTCTTACAGTAAAAAAACCTTTCCTTTGCCTGAATAAAACTGAATAAAAACAAAGTGCCCACCCACTAATACATACATTTTTATATTTTGTGTGCATGTCTGTGTGGTAACAAGATTGGTTTCACAATTTCTACCACCCTGTTTTAATTGATGCATGTTACACTGGATTACCAGAACGATAGTTGTGCACTGACTATTTTGGATGTGCTAGGCACAACCTGCCCACAGGTTATAAAACAGGAAATATCCACACTGATGGTGGTAGTTAGGAGCCACATCAGGTACACAGATTATATGAGGCAATAAAATAGGATATTAAATCACTGACTTGGTAACATGCGACTACTATTCCACTTGTGTGTTAGGTATAGACATTTTACATACACACAAAGCATGGACAAGAGAGATAAGAGGTTTCCTCCCTGGACCAGGGTCATTGCAGGGTTTATAGCAAGAAGGTGAGACCAGGACACTCAACCATCACCTCTCCTTCATGAGTGCCCATCTGTCAGTACAGTATTTTCTCTGCTACCATTGGAACGATCTAATACCACAGTCCGGGAGACGCAAGAACACCACCTAAATACAAATTGTGCACAACATTCTCCAAACAAATTAATCTTGAAGTTTCTTAATAAACGGCGCGACCACTGATCTCACAAGCATGGCAGAAGCACTGAACACATGCATCAGATTTGCCATGAGTGGATTACACTATTAGGTTAGTGCCTTCCTAGGGAAAACTTTTGGGCAAGTACAGTAAACACCCAGCTTGGAATGTCCCTTTTAGGGTCAGTTATAACTGAAGTGTATCTTTTGACAATTTAGAAGTATAGGTTAATTTACAAACATGCACTCTACATTTTTCATACAATTTAAGTCAAACCAACTCAGCTTTTCACATCATCCAACAGAACATGTGCAAGCAGAATACTCTGGTTTGGAGATGTTTACGCAACAGATTATTTATTAAATAGTGACATCACCTTTACGTTTTCTCCGGTTTTCAGAGGACAGTTGGTCAAGGACATGTTTCCATTTTTTCTGCATGTGGTTTGCCCAATGATAAACACAATCTTGTAATTAACTCCAGCCACAACCTATTAGGAACACAAGATAAAAACAAAATTGCCATGATCAGATTAAAAATATGCAACAGGACTTTTTTAAATTTCTTCACTATCAATTACTGTATACATTTGTTTGAGTTCACTTTGTATGGTGCCAGTTCAGCTCACAAACTTCTCTTGTTATGGGATTCCAGCATGGTCAAAATTTAGTAGGCCGAAATCTCCACATGGCATATGCTAATTAGTATCTGATTACAAACAGTTGGATGAGTCATCAGTATACTGAGCATGTGTGGAAGTGGATAGTACATTCCTTTGTCTGTAAATGCCATGTGGTCTGTCCATATAAGGTGATCCTGATTATCCTGTGTGCTGATTGGTCTGAGGAATATAGGAGGGGTTATACTCAGGGCCGGATTAACATAGGGGCTGATGGAGCTGCAGCTCCAGGCCCAGGCCCAGGCCCATGGAATAGGCCCATTTAAAAAAAATATATATATATTTTAACTTGTTTTTTTTTTTTTACACAGTACTCTTAGGTTTGCCACCTGACTGGTATTTTACCAGCACAGCCGGTATTTGAGGCTGCCTGGCCGTTCCAGTAATGCAGTAATACCAGAAATGCAAATGCGGATATTTTTCTCAGTATAAATGGAGATTACTCAGCAATACCAGCACCAGCCAGCAGGGGTCGCTGTGTGTGTGGAGAGAGGCAGGGATAAGAAGTTACAGCATATCCCTCCCTGTCTCTCTCTACTCACTGATCCGCTGGGGAGCAGCTACACAGCACAAAGAGTTCAGCCTGCAGCTCCCAGCCTGCAGAGACAGACTACAGCTCAGAAAACATGGGGATACTGAGACACTTGGGGACACAGACACTAGGAGATGCTGTAAGACATAGGGACATTGGGAGACACATTGGGACACTAGGGACACAGTGTCTCCATGGCTCCCATTGACCCCTAGTCTCCCAGAGTCTGTGTCCCCATGTCTCTCAGTGTCCCTAGTGTCTCATTGTCCCCATGTCTCCCAGTGTGTCCAAATATCTGTCTCCCAGTGTCCACATGTCTTCCAGTCAGTGTCCCTAGTCTCAGTGTTCCCATGTCTCCCAGTGTCCCTCTGTCTCCCAGCCAGTGTCCTTAGTGTCAGTGTCCCCAATTTTTCAGTGTCTCCATGTTTCCCAGTGTTCCCATGTCTATGTCCACAAGTTGCCCCACGTCTCAGTATCCCCAAGTGTCTGTGTTCCCATGCCTCCCAGTCAGTGTCCCTAGTGTCTCAGTGTCCCCATGTCTCCGAGTGTCTGTGTCCCCATGTCTCGGTGTTGCTAGTGTATGTGTTCCCATGTCTCCCAGTGTCCCCATGTCTGTATCCACTAGTGCCCCATGTCTCCCAGTGTCCCCAAGTGTCTATGTCCCCTGGTGTCTCACTGTGTCCACATGTCTTTGTGTCCCCTAGTATCCTAGTGACACGGGAAACACTGAGACATGGGGACATGGAGAAAAATGAGGACACTGAGACCCTGGGAGACTACGGGATTGGACGACATGGGGACACTGACACTTTGATGCATAGGGACACTGATGCCAGGTTGGCCTTCCAATTCTTTGGACAGACATGCCCCCTTTTTGGGCATGTTCGCCCTTTTGGCAGTTCTGGTCATGTGATTTGTGTCAGTGGCCCACCCTTTTACTCCACCCATTGACTTCCTGCTTCACTGGACGCTGCTGTTAGGGGGTATGGATTTACTTCAAAGTTGAAAGCATAAATTAGAGAGTGATTAGCCTAGAGTATGTGTGTTTTCTTATAGCTGCATCCTTTTCCCTCCAACACCATCTCTATCAGATACATGACGCTTGAGAGGTTTGACTGTTTTAGTGCTTTTGGTCGATAAGATTCTGTAATTAGGCCCAACATAATTGTCAGCACCAGGCCCACTGGGCTCTTAATCTGGCCCTGCTCACTCCACTCACTTTCACGTTGGGGCAACAATGCAGGCAAGTCTGTATGGCTTTCAAAGCCTCAATTCAGTGCCAGCGTTGTTTGAGTTAATGTTTGTTCTCCACATTTTGATCACGGAACACTCTTGTTTACTGCGTGGTTTGGCTGGTGGAGAAGAGAGACCATACGGCCAAAATCTAGATATCTCATAACCAGTTCATGGCTAGATGGCGTGGGAGGGCGATTGCGATCCCATCAGGTGTATTCAGAGTGCATTGTATGGCAACAAGAGCAGGCTATGGAACTGCCTGGGATGACAGGCAGTCCCTCTAACACGGAAATCAAGTTTACAAAATGATTACACATATACAAAATACATTCGTATACCACAAGACTGATATAGAAAAATATATATTATATGTGTAACTTACATGCAGGAAGGTGTGACATGGGATGCATAAACAAGGTTATTTGACTCATAAATAGATAATTGAGCAGTGAGACTGCAGGGGCATGATCTATACACAAAAACGGCTTCATTAGGCTAAAGCGGTTTTGATATTTGCCACCAGTTTGGGTGGAAATAGACAATTAAGCTGTACAGAAGGATTGTGAGGATTCGTGTGTTGTGGAGTGTCTACAGGACATGGCAGTCTCCAAGCAGATACCTGGCAGTAGGTTGTTAGAAATTATTTTCACTTGATCGTATCCCTGTAGGATAGAAAAGAGGGACAGAGGGATTTGCACCCAAATAGGGACAACTGGGCCGTATGGGTTAGATACGTTCAGCCAATGGTAATGGATAGAACCACTATAGCTTGACCCAAACGTTTGAAAATGTACTTTCCATTTGAAACAACACTTTTGTAACAACACATGAGAGCTTATAAACTTAGTCTTATTATTCTGTATAAACAAATTTGACATGTAAAGTTATCCATGATTTCACTGAGGTTGTGACGGGCAGGGAGACTTTACAATAGAAAGAACTGATGGGACACAGTGATAATGCTAAGGGAAACCCAGCATGCTGTATGTACCTAACGCCACCAGCACAACCTCTGCAGCGTGGCTCTGTGTCCCCCCACCGCCACTACCTCTGCAGCGTGGCTCTGTGTGTACCTTCCGCCACCAGCCCTACCTCTGTGTGTACCCACCACCACCACCTCCCCAGCCTGGCTCTGTGTGTACCTACCGCCACCAGCACTACCTCCCCAGCCTGGCTCTGTGTGTACCTACCGCCACCAGCACTACCTCCCCAGCCTGGCTCTGTGTACACCTACCGCCACCAGCACTACCTCTCCAGCCTGGCTCTGTGTACACCTACCGCCACCAGCACTACCTCTCCAGCCTGGCTCTGTGTGTACCTACCGCCACCAGCACTACCTCCCCAGCCTGGCTCTGTGTGTACCTACCGCCACCAGCACTACCTCCCCAGCCTGGCTCTGTGTGTACCTACCGCCACCAGCACTACCTCCCCAGCCTGGCTCTGTGTGTACCTACCGCCACCAGCACTACCTCCCCAGCCTGGCTCTGTGTCTACCTACCGCCACCAGCCCTACCTCTCCAGCCTGGCTCTGTGTGTACCTACCGCCACCAGCACTACCTCCCCAGCCTGGCTCTGTGTGCACCTACCGCCACCAGCACTACCTCCCCAGCCTGGCTCTGTGTGCACCTACCGCCTCCAGCCTGGCTCTGTGTGTACCTACTGCCACCAGCCTGGCTCTGTGCATACCTACTACCTACTGCCACCAGCCTGGCTCTGTGCATACCTACTGCCACCAGCACTACCTCCCAGCCTGGCTCTGTGTGTACCTACTGCCACCAGCACTACCTCCCAGCCTGGCTCTGTGTGCCTACCTCCCCAGCCTGGCTGTGTGGTACCTACCCCCAGCCTGGCTCTGTGTGCACCTACCTCCCCAGCCTGGCTGTGTACCCCCGCCTCTAGCCTGGCTCTGTGTGTACCTACCTCTCCAGCCTGGCTCTGTGTGTACCTACCGCCTCTAGCCTGGCTCTGTGTGTACCTACCGCCTCCAGCCTGGCTCTGTGTGTACCTACCGCCTCCAGCCTGGCTCTGTGTGTACCTACCGCCTCCAGCCTGGCTCTGTGTGTACCTACCGCCTCCAGCCTGGCTCTGTGTGTACCTACTGCCACCAGCCTGGCTCTGTGCATACCTACTGCCACCAGCACTACCTCCCCAGCCTGGCTCTGTGTGTACCTACTGCCACCAGCACTACCTCCCCAGCCTGGCTCTGTGTGTACCTACCTCCCCAGCCTGGCTGTGTACCTACCGCCTCCAGCCTGGCTCTGTGTGTACCTACCTCCCCAGCCTGGCTCTGTGTGCACCTACCTCCCCAGCCTGGCTGTGTACCTACCGCCTCTAGCCTGGCTCTGTGTGTACCTACCTCTCCAGCCTGGCTCTGTGTGTACCTACCGCCTCTAGCCTGGCTCTGTGTGTACCTACCGCCTCCAGCCTGGCTCTGTGTGTACCTACCTCTCCAGCCTGGCTCTGTGTGTACCTACCGCCTCTAGCCTGGCTCTGTGTGTACCTACCGCCTCTAGCCTGGCTCTGTGTGTACCTACCGCCTCTAGCCTGGCTCTGTGTGTACCTACCGCCTCCAGCCTGGCTGTGTACCTGTTGCTGGGCACTCTTCATGCTGAGCAGTGAGTATAAAGTGACGTCATTGCTCTCCATGTTGTATCGCTGCACACAGTACGCCGTCACCTTCTGCACCCAGTCACTGTTCGGGTCCGCCTCCGACCACCCCCCGGGAACAAGGCTGAGAGCCCCGAGCGAGAGCATCGCACACACCGTGAGGAGAGCCACACCGCGCACCTCCATGTCTGCCGCCGAGTATACTGACTGACACCGATACCGAGTATACTGACTGACACCGATACCGAGTATACTGACTGACGCCGAGTGTACTGATACCGATACCGAGTATACTGACTGACGCCGAGTGTACTGATACCGATACCGAGTATACTGACTGACACCGATACCGAGTATACTGACTGACACCGATACCGAGTATACTGACTGACACCGATACCGAGTATACTGACTGACACCGATACCGAGTATACTGACTGACGCCGAGTGTCCTGGTACCGTGTGACTGAGAGCAGCCCGCGGGCGGTGTACCTGCTCTCCTCCTACACCCTGCCAGGGCGGGGCTCCAGCTGTACCCAATACATACTAATCCGAATTAACAGACTGAGTGGCAGAGAGCTGTGCTCACATTATCACTGTGTAATTCAGCTTTACTCCTCCGGCAGTTAGACGGTGAATGAGTTTATTCCATGACAATCCCAGCGAAGTGGTACAGTGGAATTCCTGTAAGGAATTATAAAGAGAATCACACGCAGTTACGTACTGGCCGGTTAGCTCAGTTGGTTAGAGCGTGGTGCTAATAACGCCAAGGTCGCGGGTTCGATCCCCGTACGGGCCAACTATTTTTTATTATTCAATTCTAATTACATTACATGGCCCTAACATAGTCTCAGGCGTGAAGTGCATTGTGATAGTGTCTATATTGACAGTGATGTTATTGTTAAATAGGTAACATCTTCATTTTGTATCCTATACCATAGGATCTCGGAAGGCACCTAAAGTAAACTAAATATATATGGAAATGTAAAATACAAAACAATGAGCCTAAACATCAAACTTTCTCAAAGAGAGAGGGGGAGAGTGCGTTTTTTTTTAGTGTACACCAAGCATGTCAAACTTGCGACTCACAATGGATATATTTGCAGCCCGTCTGCCCTGGGGCCACTTTGTGACTGCGACCAGCCGCAAGACAGGAGAGATATTTCCTGTCTGATGCTTGCCTTCCCTCCCATGGCCGATCGCTTGCTCCCGCAGGTCAGCCACTCCCCCTTCCCTCCTTCTCGCAGTGCCAGAGGAGCGTCTGGCCTACTTGAGCAAAGAAGAGCAGGGCTGGAACTGGAGGACGGGCTGCTCATCTTAAGGTAGTGGAGCTTGGGGGATTTTCCTGTGTAGCATGTTAAATTGGGGAGGGGGAAGCAGTGTATTAGAGTGGTGGGAGAGAGGGGGCCTCTTTATTAAATTGGGGGAGGAAGGGGGCACTCTATTAATTTGCGGGTGTGGGGGGCGAGCCGCCAGTGTATTAAATTGAGGGGGGCAGTGTATCATTTGGGGGAGGTAGAAGGACAGTGTATTATAGTGGTGGGTGGGGGGGCAGTTTGTTAAATTGGGGGTAGTGAGGGGGGCAGAATATTAAGTTGGGAAGGGAGGGCAGTGTATTAAATTAGAGTGCTGGAAGGAGGGCAGTGTATTAGATCAAAGGGCAGTGTATTAAATTGAGTGGAGGAGGCAGTGTATTACAGTGAAGGAAAGGGGGGCAGTGTATTAGATTAAAGGGCAGTGTATTAAATTGAGTGGAGGAGGCAGTGAGTGGAGGAGGCAATGTATTACAGTGAAGGAAGGGGGGCAGTGTATTAGATTTAGGGGCAATGTATTAGAATGGGTGGAGTGGGCAGTATATTAGATTAGGTCTGCATGGAGGCGCTGAATGCGCCCCATGGAGATGCTGATTAGCTGCACAGTTTTTTGCCACACATTCACAATAGCCTTCCAATGCTTTCCTATGGGAAAGTTTGATGAGCTAAAGCAAAGTGAAGAACACACTCAGCTGTGCAACAGCATACATTCACCATTTCAGCCCCAGTACAAAACTTTTCTTAATATATCAAGGTTGTTGGACTGAAACATTGGTTATATGTAAATGCATGTCTCCTTAACCCCTTCCCGACCACGGACGTAGCAGGTACGTCCGTCAAAAAATGGTCGTTAATGATCTCGGACGTACATGCTACGTCCACGGCAAATCAGAGTCCTGTACTCACCTGCACCGGCAATCACAGTCGGGGGGACTGCCCGAGACCCCAGCAGTCTCCCTGCAGCAGTTCCGGCCTGTCAGAGTATTTATATCGGCAGACATCTTGTGCTATGATAGAAACTAAAAGTGTATATTTTGAGTCACTCTGAACAGACCAGTCTCCATTTTGTTATTCCAAGTTAACAAAAACAAAGAGACACAGGATTTCTTTCTGTCAAGCTGGCCTCTTTGCCAGAGCTAAGGAATGCATAGCATAGTATAAACAAGTGATAAGAGGAATATAATCAAATCTAAACCCAGACAATTGTGACAGAGAAGATTAAATAATTTAATTTTACTGTCTATATATATATAAGGTACCATTGTATGGAAAAGGGTAAACTTAGTTCATGATCTGCCATATCAGAAAAAAACCTCAGATTTGCAGACACATAGTCTGGACAAAACTTAAAGAACCCTTTGATCTTTGAAGGATACGTAAGTTATAGCCACTATCTAGATAGGCCAAAATGACGTCAAAATAGCCACCAGGAAAAGTTAACTCTTTCCTGGATAGGTATGTTTAGTGGGAGAAGACTGCCCTCTATAGACCAAATAACTAAATTGCGATCTGGAAGATAACCACACCTCTAGTGCTTCTATTGGGTTATCAACTGATGACGTACAGAGAGTCTGGCCCTTTAAAAGTTAAGACAAAGGGAAGATAGGGATATATGGAGGCAGATGCAGGACATATGCAAAGGAGAGGAGAGAGGAATTGGAAGTTTGGGGACTCCAACTCGGACAACATCTGAGACTAACACTCTACTCCTAAAACTCTAACACTTAGAATTTACTGACTTTCACCAACACCTCCATGCAGAGAGACATCCAAATAAGTTCCTGAGACTATCTACCAATCGGATGAAATATCTACTCAACTGGTAATTATACTGGTTTCATTTAATTAATTAAATTAATTAAAATGTATTAATAGCATTATATATGACTGGATAAAGCACGGTCAGATTTCCATATTAAGAAATCTTAGTTAACTAAAGAATATATAGTTATAAACATTCCATTCTGCAGGTGGAATTAAGAATAATTATATATTGATGTGATATTATCACGTGTTAGCATACCGCTGTTTTTATCCAGGTGTATTGATTTGCTCTAAATTAAGATAGATATCTTTTAGACAAATTAAAATCTGCTTATATAATATGGTAGATTCTCTTATTGGATGGTTTCAGAAAATGACTAATGAACTGGGTTAAATGTTATTTTATTTAAAATTACATAAGAATAGATCTTAATTACCTAGGAGATCTAGCCAGCATTGAAAGGGTTATTCTAACTGTCTGCTAAACTTTACGACCTTACGCTGCACTCTGAGGAATTCTGTTCTTCGCTGTGAAAAGTTTCACTTAAGTCTGTGTTAAGGATACCTCATAAATCGTCAAAGTCTTGACAGGAAATGCTATTTAGCCATTGAAATGTAATACCCATTCCTTTGTATTGCATATCATTTTATACTGGATATTCATTGATTATTGTCATGTATGTTGCATAATATTATTATTAGTTAATTTGTCATATAAATAAAAATCTATTTTTATACATTGTGATTATTTATATGAAATACTTTCCACTTAACACGATAAACGTTCTTTGGGATCTGAGAATTGAATTAGTGGGCAATTCTCACTGTTACTATTATTATCCCATAAATATCCCCACAGGCCACTGCGGCCCTCCAGGGCCATGTGATCACCATGATGACATTGCCGCAATTGGAGTCTATGGAGCTGCCAGCAGGGGGACTGTCTGAGCTGTCAGGCAGTCCTTCAGACACCTTAAAAGTGTAAAAAAAAATTAATAATAAAATAAATATATTATATATATTATTATAATATTTCTTTCTCTACATATATGCCCACCATGCAGCATCAAATTTGGAACTAGCTTTTCCCCAATAGTACAGCAGGACTTATTCTGCTTTTGACCCCTCCTACTTATGTAGTCTCCCATGTTATACCCCATGGGCTTCTGCCACCCTTCTCAATATATAGTCTCTCCGTGCTCAGCCCCCCAATAGAGATCGGCACATCTTCTTACCGGTCCTGCCCCTGGACAACTGCCCCCCCCATGGTTAGCAACGAGAGCATCAGAGCCTCTTTGCGATCGCACATAGATTATTTTTTTACTATGAGTCTCTCGGACTCCCCCGCCCGGCTGAACACTCGCGGCTGGTTGCCATAGCAACCTCCAAACAAATCTAACCACGTTCCAGCCGAGAATCTCGGCACCCGATCCAGCTGCAGAATACACTTTCAAAGGTCATTTCTACCCGCGTTTTTTTCGGCGGTTTCTAGGGGAACCACACTGAGGCAAGGGGTAAGCACCACCTGTATACAATGTATGGTACTAATGTAATATGTATCCTTTTGCTATTTATTTGTTGTTTTTACAATGCACCTTATCCTGACGAAAGTTCTGCTAAAGAACTGAAACGTTGAAATATTGTGGCAGTTGCTGAATAAAAAGCTAAGTTATTTTTTCACAATACCTTTTTGAAGTCCTTAGAGTGCTATTTTCTACTTTCCTGTATATATTATATATATATATATATATATAATATATTATAAAATAATTCATGCATTTTATAATATATTATACATACCGTATATTCTCGAGTATAAGCCGACCCGTAAATAAGCCAAGGCACCTAATTTTACTTAAAAAAACTGGGAAAACTTATTGACTCGAGTATAAGCCTAGGGTGGGAAATGCAGCAGCTACTGGTATCAAAATGCAATTCATAGCTTCAGATTATCCCATGACTAATGGGAGTTACAGTCACATTACAGACTTTTGCATTACAGACAGAATTTGCAGATTTTTTTTCTCATCTCACCTCCTCAGTGGTCCTTTCCCCCTTCTCCCCCCCACCTCCTTAGTGGTCCTTTTCCCCTTCTCTCCCACCTCCTCAGTGGTCCTTTCCCCCTCACCTCATTAGTGGTCCTTTTTCCCTTCTCCCCCACCTCCTCAGTGGTCCTTTCCCCCTCACCTCCTTAGTGGTGAGTTTTTCCCTTCTCCCCTACCTCCTCAGTGGTCCTTTCCCCCTCACCTCCGGTGGCCGGGTAAAGGAAAAAGAAGATCCTGTCCTGGGGTCCGCGCCGCCCTGCCACGCTACATTGAGTGATCGGCAGTAGGGAGTGCTGTGCACTTCCCTCCTGCCGGTCACCAAAATCTAGCGTTCCCGCCCTCTCGGGAAGCGCTTACTCGAGTATAAGCTGAGGGGGGCTTTTTCAACATAAAAAATGTGCTGAAAAACTTGGCTTATACTCGAGTATATACGGTATATAATGCATATATATGATTTAATTATAAGTGTACTTTGAGATATGCACACATATATCTCAAAATACACTTATAATGTAATCATATATATGTATAATTGTGGCGAAAGTGACCTCGCCACTTGTGCTTGGAGGGGCCTGCTTGCCAGCCTCTTGCCCTGCGACTATGGCCCCTGGACTGTATTGCCCTTCAAAAGCTCTGCTTGGGCTTATTGGACCTTATACTATTCTTTCTGGCCCTTTAAGTTACTTTGAAGCAGTTCTGCAACTTTAAATTGGCACTTCGCATGCAGCCGAAGTAGTCAAAGTGGCCGCCATTCGACAAATGAACATGTGGCAGCGGCCATTTTAAATCAGTCAAACGCGTTCAGCGGTGTTTGGTCGTCGAGTTCATGGAACTCAAATCGGACAATTGACGGCACGAACACCGCTGAACTTTACCTTCTCTGTACTTCGACTGGAGTCGAACACCATTCGACCATCCGAACTGCACTTTAATATTGACAATTGCACAAACGGTGGCCGTTCGCCTGTTTGCACTGAACTTAACATGGGAAATAGACTGGCCACACAGCCAAATTCTCTGGAACTGTTTTGGGCATGAAATCATGCGTGCGGTCGGTCAAAAAGAGACTTCCATGGAACTTTGGAACCCCTGCTCTGACCTGGGTGATTTTTGGATATGTTGTTAACCCAGATCAGGGCTATCAGAGAATGTAAATTTAAGGGAAATCTTACATTTTGGGGTGTTTTCTGGACTTTGGGGAAAATGTGTGTTTTTTCTGCCTGTGGATAATTAGGTTATTGTGTTTGCTGTTTTAATTATATCACAGGTAAAGGGAAGGGATTGTTTGCTGTATGTGGGAGTGTCAGTCATTATTACAGTGTTCTTATTGGTTTGTATTCTTTGTGTGCCTGTGTGCCATTGGTCAAGGGGGTGTGTCTTTGGCCTGCAAAAACTGTATAAATTGTGAGTGTTTGCTGCCATTAAACAGACCTGTTTTAACCCTTCATGAAGTCTCGGCTCATGCTTGGGGGATTGGGGAACTACACTCTTGGGGATTGCTATATTCACACTATACTCCCCAGAGTAAGCTCTTGTAAGAACTGTTCTTGTTCCTGCTATGCTCTCTGGAGGAAGAGAGGCCTGCCCACTGGAAGCTGGATCCTGGCCTTGGGTCCAGGGTGGGTGAAGGAAGGGGGGGCCCCCGGCGCAACTGCAGCGCTGGAAGTGGGGCCTGCAGTGTTGATGGTGTCGGGTGGAGTGCTGAAAGTCCTTGGCATGAAGAGGGTGAGCGGGTGGGGTGAACAGAAAACGCCATGGCGAAGGTAAGAAGGGGGAGTAGTGTTTTATAGGAACGTTAACTTCTCCCACAAATACAGGCCCATGGCCTTAAACTTGTGGTCGGTTAATATAGGGACCGTGAAATACCTTGTGATTGGATCAAGTCGGTGTAGTGTGCCGAAACCGACTTAGAGGTAGGCCTGTAAAAAAGAGAGCAAAAGAAATGCAGAAAAAACATTCTTTATTTCAAACATGATTATAATACAAGATTTTTAAAGGCTTGCCTTAACTCCTTCTCTGGTTGTGGTATGTATCTATTGTATACTGCGGATTTCCAACTTTTTGATGATGGGTACTGGAGTATTGATACTGGATGGGGCTGATGCGGCCCCTATTCTGAATGAATGCCCCAAATAAGAGGCAGGGTCCCAACCTAATCTAATGCACAGTGTCTTGATGTAGAACATGAACTTGTAAGTAGTAGGGGGACTGCCTAGCAGTGTAAAAAGTGGAGAGTGGCTGGGATTGTCCCTAACATGTACTAGATAAGTGTCTAAAACTTTAACAGGACACCAGTGATTCTCGTTGGGGTAGAAGGGTACTTCTAGCGGATGGCCTAATTGGTTTTGGAATGCCTATGTGACAAAAGATAGTCATCGTTCACCTTTTTTAAGTCTTTCATGATGAGACATAAATGACTGTCTGACTGAGCTGTTATCGTGAATTCTCTAGGTCTCAGGAATCCATAGAAACTATGTACATAGTGTTTTTTTTTATAACCAGGTTTGTATGGGGGTCATATGGTAGTGTGTCCAGTAAGTCTGATAAAGCCCGGAATTTCTCTCCATCTATGGGTAAACGTTTTTTTGTAGTGTGATGATCTAATTTATTAATGCCTTTTAATATATTCTTACCGGGTAAGCAGAAAGAAAAGGAGTTTGATTTGGCATGGTTGTCAAAATGTGGTGTTGTACACCCGATAGCATTTGATAGTGTTATATGAAAGTTTGAGATGAAGGTGGCAAAATGCAGCAAATGCAACCATGGTTTGGATACAGGGCCGCCATCAGGGGGTGACAACCATGACGGTTGTCACGGGCCCGGCGGTCCTGGGGGGCCCGGACTGCTTTGGCAGTCCTGGGCCCTACATTCCCTCTCTGCACATATACATAGCGATGATCGCTATATATATGTGCAGATATATGTGTAGCCGCGGGCCCCCCGGCTCCCTGTATTTGCAGAGGGGGCCCAGCAGACTGCACAGTACATTACAGCTCTTCCCTCTGTCTAACTCCTGCGAGACCCGCGGCTGTCAGAGCGTTGCCACGGGTTAACATGGCAACACTCTGCGCGGCACACACGCCACGCTTGCGAGAGTTAGAGAGAGGGAAAAGCTGTAATGTACTGAGCAGTCTGCTGGGCCCCCTCTGCAAATACAGGGAGCCAAGGGAACCAGGTAAGAAGCAGGGAGGGGGAATAACAGATATTACATTTAATGTGGGGGAAAGGGAAAAAGCATACACTAGTAAACACACACACTGCATCCATTACACTAACACACTCTCTGCATTCACTACACTGACACACACTCTGCATTCACTACATTAACACACACTTTGCATGCACTACACTAACACACACTCTGTATTCACAACACTAATATAAACTCTGCATACACTACACTAACACACACTCTGCATTCACTACACTGACACACACTCTGCATTCACTACACTGACACACACTCTGACACTCTGCATTCACTACACTGACACACACTCTGACACTGCATTCACTACACTGACACACACTCGGCATTCACTACACTAACACACACTCTGACACTCTGCATTCACTACACTGACACACACTCTGACACTCTGCATTCACTACACTGACACACACTCGGCATTCACTACACTAACACACACTCTGCATTCACTACAATAACATACACTCTGCATTAAAGGATCACTATAGTGTCAGGAAAACATAGCGGTTTTCCTAACACCATAGTGCCCCCACCCTCAGGGTCCCCCTCCTGTGGCGCTGAAGGGGCCTTACCTTATTCCAGCTCCTCCCTCCTCCCTCTGCCGACGTCAGCGGAGCCGAATGCGCATGCGCTGCAAGTGCCGCGCGCGCATTCAAGCTGTCAATAGGAAAAGCATTTTTCAATGCTTTACTATGGACGCTCTGCGTGATGGAAGACAGCCACTAGAGGCTGGCTTAACCCTGCACTGTAAACATAGTAGTTTCTCTGAAACTGCTATGTTTGCATCTAAAGGGTTAAAACCTGAGGGACATTGCACCCAAACCACTTCATTGAGCTGAAGTGGTCTAGGTGACTATAGTGTCCCTTTAACTATACACACAGCATCCACTACACAAACATTCTGTATTCACAGTACACACACTACATCCACCACACATTCAGACACTCTGCATTCACTATACAGAGACACTGCGTCTAATACACACACTACAGACACTGCATCCACTAAACATATTGCATCTAGTACACACAAACACTACATCCACTGCACAAACACACACTACACCACTGTACACACACTACATCCACTACTCAAACACACTCTGCGTTCACTATACACACTGCATCCGCTACACAAACACACACTCTGCATTCACTGCTCAGTCAGTATCTAATACACACAAACACTACATCCATTACACACATTCTAATTCACTTCCACTATACACACCACATTCAGTCCTGCATCATTGTCAGCGGACTAGGTAGGAGTCCTGTGTGTGGACACATGGGCGGGCCGGGGGGGCCCAGACCTTGTGCTTTGTCAGGGGCCCCAAAATTTTTGGTGGCAGCCCTGATCGTGTATGTTGAATTCTACGGTGAACCTCTGAAAAATGACCATAGCTCTACAGTATTGTATGTTTTCTTTGTGTTTGTGGACAATGCTACTTGTGCCAATTCCCTGCCATGCACCAATAGCCGGGCTAGTCCAGGATTAAATTGTTGAACTCCGGAGTTTGGGTCGGGTATTTGTTGGCTGCTGGGTGAAGAACGAAGAATTCCTGAAATTTACAACGAGACAAAGCGTCAGCGGCAGAGTTGGAGTATCCTTGTATGTATTCGCAGGAGAGGAAGAACTGATATGTGGCAGCCAACCAGGTCAGCCTGCGAACTAACCTCATGATGGTCAATGAAGATGGTCGACCCTTATTAATTATGTCACAGGCTGTCATGTTGTCCGTATAACATTTAACTGCCATGCCCGACCAGGATTTGCCCCATTTGAATGCAGCCGCAACTATCGGGTAAATTTCGAATAATGCAGACGTCTCACGAAAGGAAGGTAAATCGAGTGTCTCTTTCGGCCAGCAACCTCTCAACCAGTGATTTTTGTAGATTGCTGCAAACCCAGTGTTAGTGGCTACATCTGTCCAAAAAACTGGGGATTGGTCGGATACTGGGGGAATGAACATTGAAATCCCATTCCAGTGTTCGAGGAACTCTTGCCACATGGCCAGATCTGCTTTTGCCGCAGGATCTAAATGACCAATATCACCGTCGAGCAGACCTGGTAATAAGCGTAGCAGCCTAGTAATAAATGATCTCCCCTGGGGGATAATGTGCATGGCGAAGTTTAATGAACCTAACAAAGATTGTAGGTCTTTCCGTGTGCAAGTTCCTAGTTGTGGGAACCTGCTCACGTCTTCACGAATGTGTATGAGTTTATCCTCGGGAAGACTTGACTGCATGGTATTGGAATCCAGCATGATACCTAGAAAATTGAGTCTGGTGGTGGGTTCCGTGGTTTTGTCTTGTGACAGAGGATCGCCTAGAGTTGCAAATAGTGCTGTAGTGCTCTTTAAACTTAGAGGAGTGCTATTGCTTCTTTCCACCATTAAAAAGTCATCTAGATGGTGTATCACCGTGGGGCACCTAGTGATGTTGAGAAGAAGCCAGCAGAGAGTCTCAGCAAACATGTCAAAGATTTTAGGGCTACTTTTTGTCCCGAAAGTGAGTCTGGTAGCGAAGTAATATTTCTCTCTCCACTTAACTCCATTAACATGCCATAAAGAAGGATGGATAGGTAGCAACTTGAAAGCATTGGAGATATCGGTCTTGCTGGGCCATGCCACTTTACCAGCTTTCAAGATTGCCTGGGTAGCAATATACACGGTGGTATAGTATGAGGGAGTTTAGGCTTGGGTTTGTGGACGAATGAGGAGCCGACAGATCAATGATAAGACTTTTTTATTAGAGTATTTACTAATGGCTATCCCAATCGGATTTGGGCGCCAGGAGGTAAGGGGTGGGGGGAGGGGAGGGGAGGAAAGGCTCCTATCATGAAACCCTTTTGAACTTCCTTCCCAATGAGATCATCTACTGTTTGTGGTTCGTGTACCGCAGATAGGAAGTTAGGACATTCTAAAGTACCTACGGGGAGTGACACTAGCCCAGTGTGGAACCCTTGTGAAAACACGTGAATTAAGTACTCCACCAAGTGAGGGGATGGATGAGTCTTCAAGTAGAACACCAAATTTCCTATGTTCACCTCAGTTAGTCATTGTTTTGAGTTCAACTTAGATGGGCACATGGATTTAACATTAACCCTAAAGCATATGGAGCACACGTGCAGTAATCTTCAGGCACTGAAACTGCACACTCCTGCATTAAAATTATTGCAGACTTGTGCTTTGCCCAGGTAGACAATGGGTAGACCGAGCTTGTCTTTTAAGCCCCGCTGGTCAGGTTTGTTGGACCCAAATGGGTGATTTGAGTATGAGGAGGGATCAGCTTCTGAGGGGAACAAATTGGTGGTATGGGAGGTGGATGAGCAAACTGCACAAGACGGGGGCACCAAGCCTGCAAAATGTCTGCAAAAGAGTTCTGTGTCCATAAGGCTCCAGTCAGTGCAGATGTTAAACTGGGCCAGGGTTGCAGCTGCTTTTGCCAACACATACTTGTGGTAGTCATAAAACCTCCGTACTTGTGGCCCAAGTCCACCACTTTGTGCATGTATAAATCTAGTTTTTCCCAGCGTTGTGGATAAACAGAGCACACAACATCCCTGTAAATACCGAAGGCTAGGAAAAACTCGGGTATGGTGAGTTTTTGTTGAATCGTGCGTCTCTACCACAACGTCTTGGAAAGCAATTAGCAACAAAACTAGATTTACATCTTTACCATCTAAAATGTCCTTATGGAGAGCTGGGGGGACCATGTAAGCTGGGGTAATTACATGGGTGGAGGGGGTGGGGGGCTGAAAGGTGGGGGGCTGGTATCTCCCTCTCAGGATCAGGTGTCACCCAGTTTCAGGAACCATACAGGACTGCAACAGGTGGATCAGTAGAAAAAAAGATTTATTGATCACAATTTAAAAATAGTGATTAAAAAGCAATTTTAGTCTTACGCGTTTCGTCCTTTAATGGGACTTCATCAGAGACCAATATTCAATAAAAACAATCACAATAATAATGCTCCCAAAAAAGCAACCTAATACTCCCGTCAGTCCCCTTAAATAGGGCTAATCCCTTATCGTTCATTGGTGTTTCCAGGGGGTGTCTTCCATTTCATTCTTCCTATTGGTGGTTCTTGGGTTAGTTTCACCTGTCCCTGGTCGAGGATGATGAGTGTTGTATATTCTGAAATCGTCGAAAACCGGAAGTAACGTCATCCACCTACTTCCTTGTGTTCCAATATGCGTTCCAGCTATATTTTCCACTGTAGTATGACAGAGTGGATTGATCTCCCCCTGGTGGTCTCCAAGGGAATCAAACCTCACAAGACCTTAATGCAGTTAATCTCCAATGGAGAGTTATATCTAGGCAGAAAAGCATCATTAGATCAATCTGATAATTCAAAATTAAGCAAGCCAGAAGCAGGACTTTTCAGAGACTATACAAATAATGTTTAAGGTATATCATTATACACCTTTTTTTTATTGATATTATGTCCTTTAACTTTATATTTAATTGCTAATGTTCCTTTGCTGACATCAGTCAGTACAAATAAAAAAATAAATAAATAAATAAACAAATATAAAATAAAATAAAATGAAGCCACATATATCCATTTTTTAATATGTACAAGATGATGGTCTTTTTCAGCAATTCCATTATCTAGGGAATACTGTATTCATTGTAATTAGAAGGGATTCTAACCCCTATAACAATGTATGTAGATAGTTATATGGTTACTTCTTTTAAAGAGAAACCTGATTTTTCTTCAAATTGAAGCAGAGTACAAAAATAAGTATTTACATCAGTGGGAGTAGACTCGTTTATGCATTTACCACTCAATATAATGCAAATCACCAACGCATTAAAAAAAGTCTACAAAAATATTGGTCTGTATTACTTGAAGACCCGATATTAGGGAGTTCATTGCCGAATAATCCCATTCTAACATAAAGAAAGAATCGGAATTTAAAAAATCTCATAGCTCCTAGTTATGCATTAAAAACCAATACCAGAAGGGAGACAGAATACCTTAAGGGTTTTAGGGGATATAATAGCTGTAGGGCTTGCTCAACGGTTGATTTCACAAGAATTAATATTTTTTGTAGTATAGTGACTGGGGAGTCTTTATGTTAAGACGGAGATTGGATGCCGCATGGACTTTGTGGTTTATTTACTGCAGTGTCCGTGCGGCAAACAATATATTGGCCGTACTACTCTTATTTTTGAAAACTCCTTTGAAAACTCGTATTTTAGAACATATTAATAACATAAAGAAGGGTCTTATGTCACATTCGGTTCCTGTACATTGTAACTCTTGTCCTTACTTTTCAATCAAAGATTTCAAGTGTATTGAAATAGAGAGAGTTCTGCCTCATTGGAGAGGAGGGAATAGAGTCCAACGATTATCCCAAAGGCTGAAAAAGACCATCTTCTACATATGTAAAAATGGATATATGTGGCTTCATTTTATTTTATATTTGTTTATGTATTTTTTTTATTTGTACTGACTGATGTCAGCAAAGGAACATTAGCAATTAAATATAAAGTTAAAGGACATAATATCAATAAAAAAAATGTATAATGATATACCTTAAACATTATTTGTATAGTCTCTGAAAAGTCCTGCTTCTGGCTTGCTTAATTTTGAATTATCAGATTGATCTAATGATGCTTTTCTGCCTAGATATAACTCTCCATTGGAGATTAACTGCATTAAGGTCTTGTGAGGTTTGATTCCCTTGGAGACCACCAGGGGGAGATCAATCCACTCTGTCATACTACAGTGGAAAGTATAGCTGGAACGCATATTGGAACACAAGGAAGTAGGTGGATGACTTCACTTCCAGTTTTCAACGATTTCAGAATATTGAACAGCTGAGACTACAACACTCATCATCCTCGACCAGGGACAGGTGAAACTAACCCAAGAACCACCAATAGGAAGAATGAAAAGGAAGACACCCCCTGGAAACACCAATGAACGATAAGGGATTAGCCCTATTTAAGGGGACTGACGGGAGTATTAGGTTGCTTTTTTGGGAGCATTTTTATTATGATTGTTTTTATTGAATATTGGTCTCTGAGGAAGTCCCATTAAAAGATGAAACGTGTAAGACCAAAATTGCTTTTTAATCAATACTTTTAAATTGTGATCAATAAATCTTTTTTTTCTACTGATCCACCTGTTGCAGTCCTGTATGGTTCCTGAAACTGGGTGACACCTGATCCTGAGAGGGAGATACCAGCCCCCCAAATATCAGGGGAGGCACCATTAGAGCGCATTTAACTTCAAATCCCATGAGTGCAATCTTTAGCAGGGTTTATTATATATTTATCAACTGTATTACGCTATGTTCTGTTTTATTATATTTTAGGTTCAACAGCTGTATTCCACGTATATTATACTAATCAGGATCTCAATGAGCCTGGCATGGAGGGTTCTTGGAATTCACTGGGGGTACCATGCCTAACAGGGGTACTAGGCCTAGCGGGTGTGCTAGGGGGGGGATGATTCTTCTCCTATGTTGGCTTCCTGGGACATACTGCAAGAAAAGAACAACACAAAAACAATGGTCTCATTAATGACACTCCGTTGAGCTGTGTAGAACTGGCTGGCTAACTAGTACCAAAGCGAAAAACTATCTACCCCGTGACAGGTGAGACCCTGCTAGTTGCCAAGCAGCAGGTGAGAGGCTCTATCTATGATTTGGGCCGTGGGGCTTGAGCCACTAGCGTGGTGGTGGGATGTTGGCCTGTCGGTGACAGTAGAGATCCAAAAACGTGTGGCTGTGACAGGTGAGGCCCTAACTATAAACCCAATAGGTGGGTGAATGCGATTCTCTAACTATGATTTGTGCCAAGGGGCGAAAATCTCTGTGATGAGATTGAGGAGTTGGCCTCAGCGGGACCAGCTATGTAACGTGTAACTAAGGCCAGCACCTAACCCTGAACAGCCAGTTCTCTGACCCTGGACGGGGGCTTGATGAAGGGGTGATGCAACGTAGCTAGCCAATCACAAATTGTGATTTATGGTGACCAAAAGTTCACTATGAGACCTACAACATAAAAAAAGGAGAGAGAGGGAAAGGAAAGAGAGAAGAGAAAAAAAAAAGATAAATCTAAGTTTGGTATTGTGGAGTTCTTAATAATAGTGCTGATAGTATTGTAATGTAGGACCCGAGCCTGCTGGAAATTCCAGAGATAGCTACTACATTCCCCTAAAAAGAATTCCATGATGATGCCGTTCTATTTAAAGGGACACTATAGTCACCAGAACAACTACAGCTTATTGAATTTGTTCTGAATATTGAATACATGTTTGTGTTGCTGACCCTATAGTGATCCTTTAAGCATGGTAGTATCTGATGGAAAGAGGAGGGTGAAATGACCAAGAGATGCTTGTGGTCAGTCCTGATGCCAGTAGAGAACAAAGAATCAGGTAGTTTATTTGACAGATAGTGAGTTTGGATAACGTATGATGAAGTTGTCGAGTAGAGCCGTGGCCGAGGCAAGGCGGGAATCAAGCCCCCGTATCCTGGTAACCCCATTATGGATGAAGCGTGGCCTTGTAGAGGCAATTAGCAGAAAGATGTTAACGAAGAAAAAACATTTTTTTGTACCTGATAGAAAACAGGAGGCAATAATGAACCAATAGCCCGGCTTATATGGCAGAATTACCTTTAGGAAATCTGAAATTGAGGTGTAGTATGTCAAGAAAGGAAAGGATATCCTTAAAATTCCATCCAAAACATGCTATTTCGTTTATAATCAATTCGTATGAACCCATTTCGTTTATATATTTTTGTTTAAATCAATTTGTTTTATATCCATATCGTTTATATCTTTTAGTTGAAATCAATTCGTATGAATCCAGTTCATTTCTATCATTTCATTAAAACATTCGTCTAAAAGCCTTTCGTTTAAATTCCATTCATGTAAACCCTTTTGTTTAAATTCCTTTCGTTCAAATCCATTTCGTTTAATACTATTCATAAAAATATTTTGTTTAAATTACGGAAACTGTTCCCCTGTTTCTTACACTTAGTGCATTAGGTCAATTAAGCCGCACACTATGTCATTCATATGTTGGCTATGGTAGTCTTCTAGAATACCTAAAGACTACCACTGTTATTTGTTTCTACTATTTGTTGCAACCTGGCATAAGTCACAATTTATGTTGGGTAATTCACTTATTTGTACAATTTAACTATTTAGTCTAGGCTAGTCCTAAATATTAATTAAATTATCACAGACACTTAGTTTGTTCTTGCATATATTTGTAGGTTAATTCCCTGGATTTTACGAGCCAGGCACATTACTTTCCTGCATCAGCCTGTCTGAGTTACTTACACAATAAACTCCACCCGCCCGGTTATAAGGTGGCTAACAAATCATCTGGATTTCCTCACAGGATACTATTTTCAATAATCTGTCATTATATCTTACATCTGTTAGCTCAAACACAATTACATACTAGGCCGTATAGTATATACAGGTTTTTCCTTTGCACAGTACTTATATTGTCCTTATATCATACGTGTATCTTAGGTGCCTGTTTCTAGGATCAACAAATTCCTGGTTAAACCTGGGACAGCATTGTTCTTCCGACCAACTTTGTTTCAGGTATCTCAATTTCCTTACGCTCATATTCAATCATAACCGGTATTCATACTGCCTTTTACGTTTACACGTTAATACTCAGTTAAGGGGCTTACCTTATTACATCTCACGTTTTTTCAGGAACCCCTATATGATTATTACAAATCTCATGTTGTGATAATAGACTGTGTGGTTCAAAAACCGACACAAGTCAATAGGTGGAGCGCTCAGAAATAAATAACTCACCCCCTTTTTTAGGCTTGAAATGGGGATGAGATAAGAGAATAGAATCGTGTAATACGTTTAATTAACAGTGGAGTGGTAATAGAGATATATGGAACCACTCACATGGTGCTGAGCCTCAGTAGGACAGGCTCAGATCACTTGGGCAGGCGTGTTTGGGATGACACGAAACCTGTCATCGTAAAGTCGAAAGTTGATGAAGGTCGTACTGTTCCTTTAAAAGGAAAAAAAATGAATATCGCCCACACGGCCCATGTTAGTGAAAGGGCCTCATATCCCCTTCTACAGGGGTTGGTTTAGAATGTCACATGCCACGGCCAAAATTTTTTTCTCTATACTGTCACCGAGAGGCCAACATCCCACCACATCATTCGGTGGCCACATTTCCCTACGGGGCAAGTCATAGGTAGAGCCTCTCCGCGCCACTTGGCAACTAGCAGGGATTCACCTATCATGGTTACTTAATTTCTTCGCCATTGGTACTAGCTAGCAAGCCAGTTCTATACAGTATTTCACCTGTGGCTCAAAAAAGTTTGTGTTTACTAATCTCTTTATAGGATGTCGCAAGAATCACTCCATGAAGACAACTTGTCTCTCCAGGGCTCCCCCCTGGGCCCAGTACACCCATTAGACCTATGTCACCAGCCGTATCCCTCGTAACCACTACCCCTGGGTCTTTGAGATCCTGGGCCATCCCTAAATTGGTGGCAGAACTACGCCGTAGGAACGCTCCTTTCCCCACTACAGCAATTAAAGCAGAACTCTTTGAGTTATTATCGGTCCAGTCCAACTATCCCAGGCCCGGCACAAGTTCTCAGGGACTGTTTCAAGACACTTTGTCATCCATCTTGTCCACCCTTCAGTCACTTAATGAGAGGATGACCAAGATAGAAACCGTAATCCCTACGGTTACCTCCGCACCTCACACTTCAAGTCCAGCAGCTGCACCTCCAAACACGCAAGGTAGGGAAATTACTGTCTCTCCCTCCACTTCTCAGTGTCAACCATGTTAGTTCCGTTCCAGCTTCCATTAGGAAAGACATTCTGGATGGCAAGGATGTTAGCCTAGTCTCTCTCCTCATAGCTTCTCAGGATATTCTAGAGAATAGGGCTTTTAGTTTTGGAGACATGTCGGTGACCCTCAAAACTAGGAACCCACATCTCAATAAAAAGCTCTCCATCTCCGAATTCGTTCTCGGCTTTGGACTATACAGGGATGTCATCTGCTCTGTATACCCTCAAAGGCGAGAGGAATTTGACCTATACTACACAAGGTGGTGGACTTGGGGCACAAGTACGGGGGTTTTGCCTTCTATGACTATCACAGGTCAATTTCATCTAAGGCAGCAGCGGCTCTGGCCCAGTCCAACACCCGCATCGATTGGAGTCAGTTGGACACAGAGCTGTTCTGCAGGCATTTTGCCGGCTTTAGACCCCTGTCTTGTGCAGTTTGCTCCTCTACCTCACACTCCTCCAATTTGTGTCCCTGCGAAATTCATCCCACCCCTCCACTTCCTACACGTCCCCGATCCCCTCCGTCAGTCAGGATAGGGGACAGAGAGATAAGCTGGACAGACCAGTAGTATTCCTGGGCAAGGCACAAATATGCAACAACTTTAATGCTGGAGCATGTAACTACAATGCCTGCAGGTTGTTGCATATTTGCTCCATCTGCTTCAGGGCACATAAAAAAGCCATGTGCCCTTCTAAGCTTTTCCCTAGGAAATGACTGACGGAGGAAAAAACATAGACACCTAAGTTAGCATTTACATACCCATCCCTCCCCTCACCTGGTGCAATATTCGATTTCTAGTTTTGCTGTGGGTTTCCACACCGGGTTAATAGCACTCCCAACAGGCACTGGCAGTCCTAAAACATTCTCTCTGTAAAAAACTACTCATCTGCCATTGACATGTTGCTACGGAGAGAGACCACATCAGACTTTATGCTCGGTCCTTTCCACAAACACCCTGTTTCTACATGGCACTCTATCCCTATGGGTAGGGTTACCAACAACACCTCTAATAAATTGCTTTTGATTATCGATTTGTCATCTCCTCATTCAGAGTAAGACGAATATAATTAACGTCTTTAAGATTACTACCGATCCATCCGTTTCTCTGGCATACCCATGGCATTCAATGGAGGGAAATTATTTCCTCGCCACCAGACTCACGTTTCAGCTCCAGGAGCAGCC